TGGGCGGTCGGCGCGCGCCGCTCGCGCTGCGCCTGCGTCACCGGCAGCAGAGCGCCTCGAACCACAAAAGCCCCGCCCCACTCGCGGCCAGAACTGGAACTAAACCAAAGACGGAGAGACGGGGAGCACCGGGGCATGACGGGAAGGGGCGGGGCCCCGGAAGTCTCGCGCGCTTTCCAGGACGAGAACTGCGGGAGCGAGAGGAACTACGGGAAGCCGGCTGGACCAAGCGTGGCCTCGAGAGGGCGGTAGAGCCCTCTGGGCGTGAAGCAGATCTTGCTCGGGCCGAGGTCGAAGGCTGGGATTCCCTGGCTCTGTCCGGAGCCTCTTCCAGTTTCCATCCAGCCTTTGCGCACCCCCCCTCACCTTCCTCTGGGCGCCTCCTGACCTCCTCCTGGGTGGTTTCGCCCCTCTCCGTGAGCAGGGCAGGGGCTTGGCGAATGCATTGGCTTAACGAGATCGAGCAACCATTTTAAAGCATCTCCTCCCACCATTTTGTGCTCCCACTAGATAACCAGCTTTTGTTGGTGCCTCCGTACACGCTACCTGCGAAACCCCTTGTTCCTGCTCTTCTTCGAGAAAGGCGCCCCGTCTTTAAGCAAAACTGGCAAATCTCAGTCTTATTCCCAGTCAGTACTTTGATGAGACAGGTTGTAGGTTGAGCTCCCTACCAATAGGCAGGATTTTGCTTGCCCCAGGTTAAATAACACCATAGGGATACCACGTCCTGTTCAGTGAACTGAGTGTAAAGACTTAAGACTAGGAAATACTGCCTCCCCAGAGCGTGCTGCTGCAGCCTTGCTCCCAGCACCGAGAGGAGGGGTGTCCTTACACCAAACTACATTAAAGAGAGTGTATAGTAGAGTTACAAGAAACTGGACTAGGACTCAGAAGACCAGGTTCTGATCTTGGTTCTGCCATTTGGGAAGCATGCAGTGTGGGGAAGTCACTTCCCAGCTAAAAATGCAGACAGTCGCAACAATCGTGCTTGTGTTGGGCTGCGGTGAAAATCAGATGAGACAACAGACTTCAAAGTGTTTTGTAAACTCTTGAGGGATTGTTATTTCACGATTGGAGGAAGAGGAGATGGCCTTTGATGACAAGGCTGTAAAGGTAGTTGTCAGGGAGCGTGGTCCCTGGGAACGGAGGAGAACACAACAGGTGCTTCTAGGAAGACTCAGCAGTCGGTGGTGACGGTGGCTGAGAGCTCCTGGATGCGCCAGGCACTGCAGGCCTTGCACAAGATGTGCCCATCCAGTGGGTAGCAGCCCTGACACTCACCCTCAGAGGACAGCAGCAGCCCACACTCCTGTGTGAAAAGAGGCAACAGCTTTCCATCAGGCCCAGACCCCTGGGTTCCTTGTCCCTTGTGCTCTACCATACCCAGCACCCCAGACCCTGAGAACCTCTTTTCCCATCGCCCAGGCTCCCTGACCTCACACTTGTAACAGCCAATGTGAAAACTGCGATCCAGAGCAACAATTCGCACCGTCTCCTCCTGACCTGGTTCAGGCATGATGGCCCCACCACACACTGAGCATCGTGGGGCAAACTTCCTGGGGTGGAAGGGAACCAGGAGGCTGTCAAGCCACAGGCTTGGAGAAGACTAACAAGGGAGTCCAGAGAAGGTGGGATGCAGGAGGGAACAGCAGAGGCCAGAGGTATGGTCTTGGATCTTGGGGATGAGAGTGACGTTAACAAAAATGAGACATGGCTAGGGGTGGGAAACAGGAGAGGCTGGTACTGAGACATTAAGGAGAGAGGAGGAAGATAGGAAAGGCCAGACATCCTGAGACAAAGGTGGGAGACCCAGCCTGACCTGTGGAAGTCCTCAATGCAGTGGATCTGGCTGGTGGCATCCACCGTGAAAGGGATGCCATCGAGGCCGCGGTGGCACACCACACAGGTGAAGCAGCCAGGATGGTAGGCCTTCCCCATAGCCCGCAGGATCCGGTCTAGGATGGGTTGGGAGCATGTGGAGCACTTCTCCAGGGTGGCCTGTTGGGAAGGAAGGGAGGAAGGTTGAGGGCTGGGGTGACCCATGGCAGCCCCATGAGCATCCTGCCAGCCCAACCATCTGTTCGTGTATCCACCTGCGTGTGATTCAGTGAAAGGTGGCAAGTCTCAGCAATGCAGCTTCATGGACAAGTTATTTAACCACTCTGAGCTTCAGTTTCCTTCAGTAGTAATATCTGCCTCACAGGGGTGTGGTGGAAATTTAACACTTTCCTTAACTCTAAAATAAATGCCTCACACTTGTAAAGGGACTGTGGTCCTTCCCTCCAGCAGCCAGTATTTAGCTACTTAAGTCCTCCATTCTTCTTGTACATCAGTTTTAGTCCCCTACCTTCGAGTCCTGTTCCTCTTTGGGGCTTGGACATCTAGTTCCCACCTTGGATGGAAGCCCCCCACCCCAACCACTCACCACGTAGCAGCTCTCACAATATGCCCTCCTCTCCACAGCATAGAAATGCTGGCCCCGAAGATGGGCCCGGCACGTAGAACACACAAAGCAGCCAACGTGAAAGACGCGGTCCAGGGCCACAACCCCAGCCCCATCCCCAACCACATCTTCTCCGCAGCCGCCACACCGGCCTGGGGACAGGGAGGGACAGGGTCAATCTGCACAAGCTAGGAAGCTGGATCGGCTGTCCCTCTGACTCTCTAGCCCCACCTCCCCCTTCCCACCCCACCGGTGGGGTCAGCTCACCGAAGTACTCCCCGCTGGGCGGGTGGTTCATGTCATGCACCAGCTTCTTGGTCAGCCTCTCAAGCTCCTCCTCGGGAGGCTGGCTCAGGGGCACCTGGGAAGTGAGAATCAGGGGTTCGGCCCTACCTCTAGCTCCTGACCCTGTGAAAATCGCTGAGGGTGACCAGGCAGTTCTGCCCAGAAAGCTCATCTGAGAACGTCTCAGCCCAGCGTCCAGGCGGCACACCTCGGGGAGCCAGGGTACAGCTCCAGTCCCCTCCGTCCTGTACTTCCTGACCTGCCCACACTCTCCGGGGATCCAGAGCTCCGACACCTCAGACCTCTGACAACCAGGACATTAAACACCACTCCTCACCCTGCCCAATCAGTGTCCAGTTGTCTGTGAGGACCCCAAACCCCATACACGGTGCTTACCTGGGGCCCATACCCGCCTCCTCTTCCTCCTCCTGCATGGCCAGAGACCCCGGCAGCCTCCTCTTTACTTCCCGGCCCTGGCTCTCGGTGGCTCCTATAGCCAGGCCCCCAGACTTCACCTCGGCCTGGGAGAGGAAAGTGGGGGCCCGGCAGGGGCCCGGAGGCCTGAGAGGCCCCCCGCCTGGGGGGGCCACAGCCTCTCACTGGTTGTGCCACCTTCACTTGCACAGGGAAGGCAGGGCCGGCGGGCGTGCTTGCTGTTGTGTAGGAGGCCGGAGTGGGGCCCCCGTAAGTGGATGCTGGGAGCGGTGGGGAAGGAACACCCCCTCCATTCGGCTTCAGGGAGCCCACGCAGTAGGCAGGGGGCTGAGGGGGCTCATAAGCCTGAGGAGAAACGCAGACCAGGAGTGAGCTGGGCCCATTCAGGACACACACCTGTGGAAATGCCCCACCCATGTGTGTGGCACCCAGGTAAGTGCTGGTTTTTGACAAGGGCCCGCCTTCAAGTGGCTGACAACCTAGCAAGCTCTGGTGGCCCAGCTTCTTCCACAAGGTGGAGGTGAGGGGTGGACTGGGTTGAGAATCCAGAGAAGGGACCAGGCTAGGGGGGCGGGTGGGGGGACAGGGGACAGGGAGCAGAGGAGGGACGGGGCAGGACAGGGGGTCACCTGCCGGTCAGGCTGCCGTGGGGCATGACCACGACCCCCATCCAGCTCAGCCAGCATGCTGGTCAGCGAATCTATCTCAGCATCCAGACTTCCTGGGTGCAAGCCCCCTCTGTCTGGGGGGAGCCCCTGAGGATGGAGCAGAAGCAGGGAGAAAGCAAATCACACGGCCTCTTCTCCTGCCCTGCCCTCACCCCCCCCATCCCGGTTCTCACCTGTGAACGCTGGGGTGCTCCATGGCACCCCACCCAGGCCAGCCCCCGATCCTCTGGTCCCCCTGGGGCCTGGTAACACTGCTCAGATGGGAGACGGCAAAAATTGACCCTGGGGTGGGACTGGAGTGCTGCGGTGAGGGAAGAGAGAGGAAGGGTAGATGGGGAAGGAGACGAGGGTGACACTTGTGGAGGCCGCCCTCTTAGGTCCCTGGTCTCCCCTCCCCCTCACCCCCCCTCCCCACCACCCCCCTACCCCCCGCACCTGGGCTCTGAGAATGGGACAGGAGGCGGGGAGGGCTGCGAGAGGGCTGGGGCTGCTAGTCCCAGCCTGGCTCCGGGGAAGGGGCGGCTGGGCAGGCTGGGCAGGAGGCAGGAGCCTCAGGGCAGAGGTGGCCTCCTCGGCCCACTGGGGACTGCCTTACCTGCTCCGGGGGCTGGTGGCGGCCCCGGGGCGCCCCGGGGGAGCACTCTCCCCTGAGGGGCTCTGGCGGGCTCCAGCTGCTTCGGGGGGAGCCAGGTGGGCCCCGACATGGCCTGGAACGGGGGACCTCCAGACCGCGGTCAGGGCCCCACGGAGCCCTGAGCCTCTGGCCTTGACCCCTTCTTCCGTCCCTCGTTTGGGACTCCAGGAAAGAAACTTTTTCTGGCTTTTTTTCCTCTTCCTCCCCAATTTTGGGGATGGCCACGCCCCCTGTGACATCATCGCATTCCTGGGGGAGGGTCACGTGGCCCCCTAGGCCCTAAACTGCTGTCCCTCCCTAGTCAGCCCCCTCCTGCTGAGCGGGGAGGGCTTTCCGCGGAGCCGGCGTCTGGGAGGCTGCAGGCAGCCTCCATTTCCCCGAGTCCCCCAGGCCCTGCGCCCCGCGCCCCAGGTCCTGCCCTTGGCCACCTCAACGCTGGGACGCTCTGGCGCTCCTCTTTCCCACATCCCCCCATACAGATGTCTCCCTCCTCCCGTCCCATCTACCCACCCCCCAGCAGTGCTCCGCCAGCCCGTAGTGTTTTGGTCTTTTATTCACGTTCAGCAGTTAGAAAAATAAAACAGAACACAAATATCACAACCTCAGGGGTCAGTGAGTCTGTTGGGTGAGGGGGAGACTGAGGTAGCCTGAAGTCACGAGCGGAGACCCAGCCCCGGACAAGGCACCGGTGAAGGGAGGGAGGCTGACGTGGCCAGACAGCTGCCCTGCACGCGTGCACCAGGGCCCCTCTCCCAGAGACAGCAGATGCTGCAGATCAGGATCACCTAATACCTCCACCTGGCTCCGTGTACCACGTGTGGGGCAGACGGGGAGGCGGCCCTTCTCCTCCTCATCTGCTACTCAAGGTGGGCCTCCCGGCCTGGGCACCCTCTGCTTTAGGGATGAGGCATCAGAGATCAGTACAAGTGACGGGGGTGACGCCATGAATGAGCAGCGTGGGGCCCAGATCACGGCTCAGAATCTCCAGGAGCGCCAGGTATCGGGGGTATCGGGCAGAATCAGCAGGCGGCCGAGGCAGGTACAGGAAGGTGAGGGCAGTGGCGGGCCCCTCCACACCATTCCCACCCTCAGGCCCACCTGGCCCTCCTCCTCTGCCACGCGCCTGCTGGGCCCGAACCAGGGCGTTGGCGCTGCATGCCAGGGCCTCTGCCTCCGCGTCTCCCCGCCCACTGTTCACGAAGTCCCCTTCCTCCTCCTCCTCAGGCTGCCCAGACCCAGCCCCCTCGCCCCACACTACCTCCTGCACCTCAGCCCGGATCCTCAGCTGGCTCAGCAGTGCCCGGAGCCGCCCCTCGGCCGCCCCAGGGGCCTCCCGAGGCCCCAGGCACAAGAAGATCCGGAGCCGGGCACTGTGCCAAGCAGGCACCATGCCCAAGATGGTTGCCATCTGCAGCAGGAAGAGGCCGCAGACGTCTACGTAGCCAGGCCCACCCCGGGGCCGCAGCAGGTTGAGGGGCCACACGTCCACGTGATGCGGCTGAGAGGTGCCCCCAGACCCCCGGCTCAGCCGCTCAGGGGGCAGGGCCCCACAGGCCCGGGCCAGGACCACATTCTTGTTCATCTTGAGGGCATCTGCCACCGTGGCCACATAGTCCTGGGGAGTGAGAGCCCGGGGGCTCCCAGGAGCCCGGGGAGGAGGGAACAGGGTGCTCAAGGCTGGGGTCCCGCCCTCCTGGGTGCCACCTGCAGGCTCAGAGAAAGCCGGGTCTGTCAGGAAGTGGTCCTGCGGTGCAGCATCATCATAGAAACCCAGGACCAGTGTGTTGGGCTTCATGCCACCTGGGGGCAGACGGGGGAGGAGGGAAGGAACCAACAGGAGTCACACTCACAGGCACAGTCTGCCCCACGCTCATCCCTGCCCACTCGTACACGCTGACAAGGAAATGTGTCAGCCGTCAGGTATGAGATTCGCACCGGGCCTGGTCTCTTAAGGCAACATTATGCACATTTGCATGATGACTTTTCATTTTCCCAAACACTTGCACATGCATTTATTCGATTTACCTCCATGACTAATCTCCCCCACTTAAATAAGCAGAGGCCACCTTGGGATTCTTTTAACTAATGAGCACTTCCGGTCCATGGCAGTCAGATGCATTCGCTCCAAGCTTCTCCCAGCACACCTTTTTCATGATGGGAGATGAGTTTGACTCCCGGGGGCAGACCAGACCCCCTGATTAGTCAAGCTCATGGCCTCAATCCCCAGGGAGACAGCACCCGGATTCTGCTGGGGAAGGATGAGAACTCGGGCTGGGGCTGCACAATGCTTTCATGACTGCAAAGCCCTAATGATGGTGGGTCCAAAGCACAGTCCCCAGAGAAGAGACAGTTAACATCTGCCCACTAACCGGGGGCCACGTGCTGTTGAAAGAAAGCACTTCATGTTTTAACTCATCTGATCCCTGAAGCAACACCACGAGGTAGGGACTATTTACTTCACCCCCTTCTACAGATAAGGCACAGAGCGGTGAAGTCACTTGCCCAAGGGCTCATGGCTGGTAAATATGGGGTCAGCAGGTGAGCACAATGTGCCCAGCACCAGAACCCACTCTCTGAGCCTCTAAGCTGGTGTGTGTACCAACCACAATGCCCCAGTCCCTGCCAGCAGCCGCTGGTTTTTAATTTTTGGATAACCTATATGGAATCAGATAATTCCCTCTTTAAAGGGCTGCGTGTACAAGAAGATGCTGAGACCTCTTCTGAGACCCCTTCTCGTGAAACAAATGAGTTGCTTAAAATCTACCAGGAAATCAAATTTTACTTGCCAGGGGAATTTACTATTTAGAGAAAACCTTTTCCGTTTTATTTGAATCGTTTCCCACAGGATACATTTCATGAAAGTAGTGGTTTGTTTGCACAGGTTTCCCCAAAAAAGGTGGGGCTGAGGAGAGACCAGGCCTTCAGGTGCTCCAGGGTCTGTCTAATAATGCTGGAAAACAACCCAAAACACCTCAGCAGGTGTGAACTCCAGCTGATCTTGCAAATTAAGCTAGTTATACCCCCTCCTGAGCATTTTCCAGGGTTCTGATTTACACCGAACAGGGCAATGTCCAACACTTGAACTTTAGCCAGATTCTAAATGGAGAAGGCAGCATGCACTCAGAGAGGGATTAAGAGAGAAGGAGGCAGCTAAGCACGGATCTGGAGGAAGCCTGGGTGCAAGGTGGGAGGCCTCGGTACTAAGACGCGGTCACAAAGCTGGGAATCCTCCACTCCATCCAAACGCATCAGACCCATGCATCCCCCACATCCTCTGTGGTCTCTGGGGGCCATGTTACATCACTCTCTACTTCTCCACCCCTTCTAAGGCCCAGCTGAGATACCATCTTGTCACAAAACCTTTGCTGGCCACGTCAGCACATGGTGAGCTTCCTTTCTCTGAACTCGGGTGGTTAGAAACCTTCTGTCCTAGATTTGATGGGGCAGCCCCCAGGCTCAAATAATTCTCCCATTGTCCCCAGAAATACAACATGCTCTTCAGAGCCTGTGCCCCAATTTTTGGATCAGAAAAAAATAACAGTTGCCCCATCTTGAGTCCTTAAGCATCTCCTCTGAGGTTTTATCACACACTGTCTGTTAGCTTTGAGGCTGTGTCTTATCTGCACTCGACAGTGAGTACCTTTTGGAGTCTGCAATCTGTGGTTTATTCTCTGGGGGAGGGGAACAGATTGAAAGGGGCCACACAGAGGCCCTAGGGGGCTGGGGGAAGGAGCAGCTCACCAAGGCCCGAGATCCGCAGCAGATGCTGAGCTCCCTGGCGCACGGAGGGCGAGAGGGTGAGGTCCACGAAGGCCTTCACTTGGGCCCGGTCCACCAGGCTCAGCCATGCCCCGTACTGAGGCTGCACAGGGTCCGAGGGCAGGCAGTCTGCGGGGAAGGCAGGCAGCAAATGTGGGCCAAACTCATGTACTTTCTCCTAGAGTTCAAATCCCAAATGGGCAGAAGAAAAAGGTCTAGGCAGGGCTGAGGCTGGCTGGAAGGATCGTTCGGGAAGAACCACGAGCCTCTGGGACACAGAACCCAAAGAGCGTCTGAGACTGAGAGGGAGAAGAGGAGTGGGGGGCAACTCACCGAGGTCTCCCAGGGTGACGTGGCCCAGCACGTAGAGGCCCCCCTTCTTGAGCTGGTTGGCCAACCGCAGCAGAGGCAGGGCACCCCGGGGGTTCCCCACCAGGAGCAGCAGCTGGGGCCGCCAGAACTTCACGTGATCCTTCCGGACATCCAGCCGGAGCAGGTACTTACGCACCTGGGGACAGGAGTGGGGTGGTGGGGAGGAAGGGCTCAAGCAGGCGGCCCCCACTCAACACTTCTCAGACAGGAACCCCAGCTCCAGCCAAGGGAATGGGAGGCCTCCTTCAGGGGTGGGCATTCCCAGACTGCCTCCTCCCCTCCCCACCCTCCTCCAAGCCCCCTTGACCTGGTGGAAAAGCAACGCCTGGCTGACGTAGCCCCAGCTGCTGGGGCCTCCTCGAGCTGTGAGCAGGGCGGAAAGCAGGCCCATGAGAAGCAGGGAGCCGCCAGCAGCCCCGGGGCTGATGAGAAACATCATGAGCAGACAGGAGGCCACCCCCAGCAAGCAGGTGTGCCAGGAGAACAGGCTGAAGGTGGGGCTGGGAGTGGACGGAGAGAAGGAAGGAAACTCAGGGCCTGAACACCATGCCACTCCACTCCATCCCCAGCCTCGCCCTCTCGTCCGTGTCCTTCCCATTCCTTTCTCTTTTTCTGTGGGGACACAGGCATCTTATTCTCTCACCGGAAGTTGGGGGCCGAGGCCCACTCCAGGCTCAGGCAGGACAGGTCCACCGCAGCATAGGCCACCAAGTAGAAGACAGTGACCACAGCAGCCAGTGTATTCAGCTTCCCAGCCAAAAGCACCAGCTAGACAAGGACCAAGAGGCTGGGTGCTGATGCAGCAGCACCTCCCCAATGCCAGTGCATCCTGCCTTTTCATTCACATCTCACAGCCCGCGCCTAAGCCCCTCCTGGTCCTGTGAGCGTAACCAGGAGGGGCTTAGGGTGAGGGGAAGGGCAGCCTGAAGAGGAAGGCTTACCTGCACTAGGGCCCAAGAATAGAGCACGGCCCCCCAAGGGTTTCCCCCTTGGGACACAACCTTGGCCGGTGCCAAGATTACTCCTGTGCAAACAGAAATGCAGCAGACACGTCAGCCTGGGCCAAGCGGAGACAGAGACAGACACGGGAGGGGCAGTCAGAGCTGGGCAGGGGCAGGGGACAACACACCAAAGAGGTCGTCCTGGGCCAGGGCGTGGAGGATGCGGGAGGCGCCAATGAGGGAGCTCATGGAGGCTGAGAGCGAGGTGGCATAGACACCGATGAGCACCAGCGGGGGCCACAGGCTGATGGCGCGAAAGAACCCGTAGTCTTCCTGCAGCAGGGTCCTAGCGAGAGGGAAAGGAGGAGGACACGGATAATAAATGTGCACTCATCCTGGGGTCCTCGTGAACAAGTGCTCACGACACTGTGTGAGGTTAAGAGCTGGGTCCTCTCAGCTGACCCCAGCCTCAATCTCAAGGACCATAGGAACAGATCAAGTGTGCTGGGGGAAAGACTTGGCATTCGTCGGTTACCATTGGGCTGCTTTGGATTTAATCACATGGTGGGCATTCCCAACAGTAGGTGCACAAGAAGCCAACTGTTTCTGGAAATACAAATTGACTAGAAAGCTGTTCCCCACCCCAACCCCAACTCAAGAGCGTATAGCAGTACCAGGGACACCGCAAATGCTGGCTGTGGACTGGCTCTCACCACTTCACCAGCCCTCCCCATTGGTGGTGGCAGCTTCCTCTCTCCCCCAATGCGAGAAACAGTCCCCAATTTCCCTGCACTCCGACAACTTGGGTGCCTGCTCTCTAGCCTGTGTTTCCTTTGGTGATCCAGGTGCGCCAGCCTTGTCCCGACACCCCACTCCACCCCCTCGAGGGCCAGGCTCACCCCCTCCCCAGGCACCTGTCACAGGTGAAGCTGGAGAGGAAGAAAAGCAGGATGTAGATGAAGAAGGTGTAGGCTACAGCGACGATGGTACCCAGAGGAATCGCCCGGCTGGGGTCCTTCAGCTCCCCTGGAACGGAGGAGCAGAGGGAGGAGGTCAGCCCTCCACCATCCCTACATGCCTGAGCCCTCAGCACTCCCGTAGGGGCACAGGGTGGCAGCCCCACACCCCCAGGAGGCAGCAGACAGGTGGTCTCACCTGACATGTTGGCCCCGGCCATGATGCCCGTGCAGCCATTAAAAAGGACGGCAAAGACGCTGGCAAAGGTCATCATGGCCCCCGTGGTATAGTCCTTGGCATAGCCAGCTGAGGAGGGAGCGTTCCCAGGGAGGAGAGGGTGTCAGCATCCCTCCTAGGGATCCAGGCATCATGGCCCTGCCACCTTCTCCTCACATTCCACAATGTGGAATTCCACCACCCTCACCAAGACCCCAGCCCTGAGCCATCTCTGGCCCTGGCTCAGCTGGCCTCCTCACTTCCTGCTCCCCCCATACTCCTCTGTTCCTCTCTCCAGGCCTTCAGTCATGCTCCTTCCCATGACTCCTTCCCTCCTGCTCCATGTGAACTCCTCAACCCACCTGGGCCACATCCAGCTCCACCTGCTCCCCATCTCCCCAGCCCATGCTCAGGTCTCCCTCTGCTCCGCTCCTCTCCTGACTCTTGTCAATTTGACTCACACTCAGTCTTATTGCGCTGTTTGTTTCCTGAATGTACATCTTATCTCTCCAACTAAACCAGTTCCTCTAAGGCAGGGATTGTCTTGTGGTTACTCTCGCGCCCCACTGGGCCACACACACAGTGGCCAACACATGCCCGACAGATTCCCCTGCACTGCTCCAAGTCCAGACCTGCTGCCCCTGATTCTCTCTGACATCTGTTCTCATCCAGGGATTCCAACAGCCTGGCCCCCACGTGTGCCCGCTCCTTGCCCAGAAAGCCCCAGCACCCCTGCGCCCAGCTCACCACCCAAGTTGGCCTTCAGAGTGCTGCTGTTGAAGCCTGTGAAGTGGCCGAACTGGGGCGGCAGAGAGGAGCCATTGGGGCCAGGCCGAGGGGTCAAGGGGATGTTCCTGGGCCCCACAGCCACAAAGCTGACCAGCACCGAGGCCAGGGAACCCGAGACCAGCAGGAATGTAAGGAAGGAGGCGCGGGCGTAGAGGCCAGCCCCTAGGGTGCAGACCCCGCCCACAAGGCCCAGTAGCACGGAGCCATAGAGCAGGCTCCAGCCGTAGCCCTGGGGCAGCACCCGGAGCCCGCTGGACCCTGTGGCATCTGCAGAGAGGAAGGAACAGAGTTAGAAGGCCAGACCCCCAGGAGGGACCCCAACATGACTCAAAGCAGGAACAGACCCCCTCTTTGGCCCACCTGTCCTCAGAAAGGCCACCTTTCCCAAGCCCCCACTCAATTGTACCCCAGCATCCTAGCCCTCCCTGGTGGGTACCACCAATCTTGCTCTGTTGATTTTAGGGGTATTAGCCTGGCCTCTCCTAGGAGATGGTGAGCTCCCTGTGGGCCAGGACAATCTCTTGGACGTCTACACAAGGCTGGCACACAGTAGGAGCTTGAGAACGCCAAGCTAATGGGCCATTTTGCCCTTCTCCTAGAAAGGGCTTCTCTGCCTCATGATCCCAGAATCCCAGACCCTGAAAACCCACAGAGCATCCTGGACTGGGGTGGGGAGCACAGACCAGCCCCAAAGATATCGAGCACAGCCTCCACCAGCCCCAGCAGGGAGACGGCACAACCACAGACGTTTGCCAGGTAGAACATGAGGCCGATGCTGCCCCCGACCTCAGGCCCCAGGGTCCGGCTGATCATGACTGAAAGTGGAAGCAGAGGTGAGTGTTAAGGGAAAAGAAACTGAAATGGAGCACGAGGAAGGGCCCTGGCACAAAGCTCTCTGCAGCTGGCCCTGCATGCCTCGTCTCCTTGCACACACTGGCACTGTTCCCTGCGGCCAGGTGTCAATGTGTCCCAGCACAACCACTCTTAAGCCACGTGGCTTTGCCCAAGTCACTAACACACTTGAGCTCCAGTTTCCTCATCTGTAAAATGAATACTATCTAATTGACAAGACAGTAGAACGAAAATGGCAGCTGGGAAGACACCTGGTGGACTGGAAAGTGGCGCTAACGTGAAAGGCCACGTTGGTCACCTTCCCCATACCAGCCTGCCCACTGGACAGTCATTAGAACTTGCCTCCCTCTTGCCCTGCCCCCCTGGAGATGGAGGAGGGGCCCCTACCTCCTCCCCACAAGACAGAAGAGCCCAGACCCCAGGCCATCGCTGTTGGAGGATACAGTAGGCTCCACCTCCCCGCACAGCTCCGTTGGTGGCGATGGCACAGACAGAGAGGACGGTGAGGGCCAGGATGAAGTAGGCAACCAGAAGCATGGCCAAAGCCTGCAGCAGCCCAGCATGGCCTACCACAAACCCTGGGACAAGAGTGGCAAAGCAGGTCAGAGGGTGGCTCATGCACCCCAACAGCCAACCCCCACCCCACTGGTTGTCAGTTACCCCCAGGCCAGAGCTAAACACAAGGCTACAAGGAGCCCTCTCCCCAAGCCCTTCATCCGCCCACTTCTGCCAGGGCCTTTCCCCGCTGCACCCCCAAGTAAGCCCCACCACCCCACTCACCAATCCTCAGGAAGACAACTATACTGAACATGGACAGGACCGTGGGCACCACCACACCCAGGAAGGTGGAGAGCTTCCGGGCAGATGCCCCTCCAGGACCCCCAGCCCCATTGGCAGGGAAGGCAACCCCTTCCTCCCCCAGGAGCCGGTAAGCCAGCAGAGGAGAGTTCTCGCTGGCCATGGCTGAGACAGGCAGAGGAAGCCACCAATGGGTTATGAGGCCTGCAAAAGGGAGGATGCTGAACGGAAAGCAGCTCCATGGAGCCCCCCAAAACACCTCTAACCAAACACCCAGAAGCCTCCCCAACAGGGAAACACACACACACACTCACCAGCAACTCAGAGTTAGTGGGGGGAAGACTGGTCCTGCCCACTGCCCAGAGAATGGCAGGCTCAAAACCCCTCCGCATTTGGGTACCAAGGCCCCTCCCAGCTCCCCTTCTCCCACATCCCTGAGACTAAGGATGGTTAGTGGTTCTGGAAGGTGCAAAGATCCTCTCCCTTCTTAACTGGCAGTACAAGAGGAAGCAAATCTCCTAAAAGGGAAGTGAGTTATGGGCAGGAAGCCTTCCTCACCCCCTCCTCCAGAGTCCTAAGCTGCCCCCCTAAGTTCCTCTTGCAATCACCTCACCCAAGGCAACAAGAAACTTCTGCATCTTCCAAAGCCCCACCTCCGCCAACCCTCTCCCTCAACCCATCTCAAACCTGCTCCTCCTCTCTCCTCAGCCTCACCAGATTCCTCCCACCCACACGAGGCGCCCCTCAAATTCTACCCACCCCAACACGCCCCTCGACTACCAAAACAAAAACACAGGCCGGCCACACAAGCTGGGTCCTCCTCCCCCCACCCGATTCCTGCCCACTTTCTCCTGGGGCGGGTGGGTGGCGGCCGAGATCTGCTTCTCCCCGGCCAGGCGCACCCCCATAGCCCGGTCCCGGCGGGGCGCTCCTTCACTCACCGGAGGACGCAGCCGCTCGGGGGGATCCCCGAGAGCTGGAGGGGTCCGCTAAAGCGGAGGGGGCACGGTCGCCGGAAAGATAGCTGCGGCTACCGGGATGCCAGGCCAGGAGCCTGCCTCCCCAGCGCACGCGCCCCATTGGTCGCTGGGCAGGCCCCGCCCCGTGGGCGCGCCCGGTGAAGCCCCGCCCCCTCGGGGGCTCCAGTGCCAGCGCAGCTCCCGCTCCACGTGCGCCCGGGACCCTGCCCCGGGGTCGCCCCTCGGGCGTACGTCTCCTCCGGGTGTGGGCCACGGCTCCTACAGCCCCCATCACCCTGGTGCAAACAAGCGCCCGCTGCGCCGGCAGGACCCCACTCCGAGCTCGGAGGCGCCGGGAGGAGCCATCGCTGAAAGGGGCGTGTGGTGGCCGCAGAAGGCGACCTGCAGGTGGGCGGGGCCGCGACACCTGGCCCAGGTGCGTCGCCAGGAACGCGGGGCCACGTGGGTCGGCGCCCTCTAGGGTCCTACTCCTCCGGTCTCTCGAATCCCTGGAATGTCCGCCGGGTCCCGGCTTCAGCCCTCACCCCCGCGAGGGCCCCCCTCTCGCACCGGGTCCAGCCGACCGGCTGCGCTCTTCGCTTCCGCCAGCGGAGGGAGCCACTCGCCGCCGATTCGGCGAGCCCTGGCGGCGCAGGCCACCATCGGTCTGCATCGTCCGCCGTCCGCTTTCTTGCCTCCCGCGCCGTGTTCTCCCCTCTAGCAGAGATTACAGGGCTTGTGAACCTCCGGGAGTTGGGACACCTCCTCACTCTTGACAGGTACTCTCAACATCAGCACCATCAGCACCTCATCTGCAAAATGGACATTAGCTGGAAGCTCCCGCATAAAGCTGCTGTGCGAGTTCAATGAACTAACAGGCGATGAGAACAACGCCGAAACGTTCATTGTTATTGTCTGCATGCAGTACTACATTAAATATGCATAACCACTCTGTGAGGTAGGTACTGCTATGATTTCCATTTTTCATTAGGAATTTATTAATTGACGCTTGCTTCAATTAATAAATTCCTAATTTTTATACCGTCCTTTATGGCGACACCGTCATCTGAACCTCAGGCAATGAACACTGCTTTTCCTGCCACAGGTCTTTGGCTGTAGATTATCTGCAACATTTCCCTAGGAGAGGAAGGGCTCAAACCGGCCCAGATGTGGGACAGGTCTCATGAGCAGTTTAACTGTGGCATTTTCAGAGGTCATCTCTGCTGCCCGCAACACAGAGTTTGGCTCCTGGATCTCTCCAGCACCTCTCCTGGCACAATTTCTGGTGATTTCAATATTCTCATGGATGAGACTTCCAATACCCCGCCTGAAAATTGCTTTTGCCTCTATCTCAGGCTCCACAATACCCAGTGGTTATGCCTAGACTTTGTCGCTACCAACAACTGCAGCCCCTCCCTCTTTCCGTTCACCTCTTCTAGTACTCCTGTTAAGGAAAAAATTAATCTGACACTTGTTGAAATGGTACAGAAGACTTTATTCAGGACTATGGCAATAGGTGTCAAGACTATCATAGTAGGAGAGAAATCAGGCTCAACCCCAAATACAGCCAAGACAGCTGGGGATTTATAGCCAACAAGCAGAGGAGGGAGTCAGTGGATGGAAAATCACTAAGAGGAAACACCAAGCATAGGGGGATTCTAGCTAAACAGACTTAACAGGATTCTTGCTGAAGGCAGGCAGGTGATGAGATATCAAGGGGTGGGGGGGTGTGGATATTCTCTCTAAACTGGGCTAGGAAGGCCCAGAAAGGATGGAGGCCAAGGGCAAGGCCTAGTCCAGAAGAGGGCTCTGAAGGGCCTCACTGAAGTTTGGTCAAGGAGAGGGTCTTTGTCATGCCCTGACCCCAGTGATCCTCCACCTCACTGGACCCCCAATCCATTGGTCCTGCCCTCTTTCCACTGTCCCCCATCACTTCCCTTCTTACCCAGCTTGAGATTCACGGTTGGAGAAAAGCACTCCCTTGCTCCTCTGGCACTTTATCACACCTCCCGGCCAAACCACAGCCCTGGTAAACGCAACTCTCTGTCTACCCTGAGCCTGCCCAAGCAGCTGAATGTGGCTGGAGAAAACACCCAACCACGGTGGCCAGTCTCATTTCAAATTCATGACCGTGAACCTCAGGTGGGCCTTGATGCTGCCCAGCATTCAGACGAGATTTCTCTAGTCCATTCACTCTCCCACACTCCTAGATGACTGTGAAATCTTCACCCCTCTTCAACCCTCCAGTGCTTCCCCAACCGTTCTCACTCTCAGCTCACTATCTTGCTTCCCAATTCATTGAGAAGACAGAAGCCATCAGAGACACTCTAAAAGCTCCTATCCACCCACCACACTTTGCTCTGCCCTCCCTCCTGTTACGAGGGACAAACTGATCATGCTCCAGCTAAGGTCAACCTGACACCAGGATCCATCTCATCATCTTGTTTTCTCTCTCCAATGGATCATTCCTATTAGTATACAAATACACTTTTATTTCTCATCTTTTTTTTTTTTTTTTTAGATTTTATTTATTTTTATTTTTCCTCCCCAAAGCCCCAGTGGATAGTTGTATGTCGTAGCTGCACATCCTTCTAGTTGCTGCACGTGGGACTCGGCCTCAGGATGAACGGAGAAGCGGCGCCTCGATGCGCACCCGGGATCCGAACCCGGGCCACCAGCATCGCAGCGCGCGCACTTAACCACCAAGCCACAGGGCCGGCCCATATTTCTCATCTTAAAAAGAAAAAACTTTTATTGAATCCTTTACTCCCCTCCCCAGCTATTGCTCCATTTCTTTGTGGTTTCTTCTTTATAGCAAAATTTCTTATATGATTGTCTATACTAGCTGTTTTCCAATCCTCTCCTCTCGTTTCTTCTTAAACCTACTACATGTAGGCGTTTGCCCCTCAGCAGAAGAGAAACTGCTCATCAAGTCACCAGTGACTTCCACTTAGTCAATCCAAGGGTCATTGTTCAGTCCTCATTTTACTAAACCACTAGCATCATTTGACACACTTGATCACTATCTTCTCCTCCAACACTTTCTTCACATGGCTTCTAAGACTCCACACTTGCAGATTTCCTCCTGCTCAGTCTCCTTTGCTGGTTCTTCCTCATCTCTCAACTCTGGAGCCCCCCTAGGTGTTGCAGGAACAGCCAAGAGGCCACTGTGGACTGGGGGCTCCATTGAGGACTGGAAGCTCAGTCCTCAGACTTCTTTTCACCATTTACACCCACTCCCTTGGTGATCTCATCCAATCTCATAGTTTTAAATACCATCTCCATAATAGTGCCCCCCAAGGTGTATGTATCTCCAGCCCAGATCTCTACTCTGAACTCCAGACTGTATGTCAAACAACCTACTAACATCTCTGCTTGGATGTCAAATGGGCAACTGGAACTTGGTATGCCCAAAATCAAACGCCTAAATTTACCCTTACAACCTACTCCTCTGGTGGTCTTCCCACCTTGCCAGTTGCTTAGGTCAAAAACCTTGGGGTTATGCTTGAACACTTTCTCACAACCCACATCCAACCCATCAGCAATTCCTTTGGCCTCTGCTTTTAAAATATAACCAATATCCAACCACATCTTATCACCTTAGTCCAAGCCACCATCATTTCTTACCTGCATTACTGCAGTAGCCCCCTAACTGGTTGGCCTGCTTCTGCACTTGCCCTGACAGTCTATTCTCAACAGAGCAGTTAGAGTGATGCCATTAAAGCAAGCATCAGTTCATAATGCTTCTCTTTTCAAAACTTTCCAGGGGTTTCCCATTTTCCTCAGAGTAAAAGCCAAAGGCCCTTATAGGTAGGGTCACCATACTTTCCTCCGGACTCACAGACTACAGTCCAACTACAACAGCTTATGCCTGTTGCCTTGAGGTAAGTATTAACAGTGTTTCCTTTGTTCAGAGTGACCCAGAGTAGTCCATAGATTATATGGCCATCCTACCCGTGTAGCCCTACCCCATCTGCATCCCGCTCCCACCTCTCCAGGTCTCCTGCTCCTGCCCCACAATGGCCTCTGGGCTGCTCCCAAGAATGCGCTGTGGCGCACAGGGTATGAGCCTGCTTTGTCTTCTGGACTCAAATATTATTTTCTTAGTGAAATCGTCTCCGCCAATCCCATTTAAAATTCAGCCACAGCTTCCCATCCCACTTTCCTACTTTTTTTTTCCACAACACTTAACACCATCTAACTGATATATATCGTTTACTCGCTTATTTTGCTCATTGACTGCCTCCTCCCAACAGAAAGTTAAGCTCCACGAAACAGGAACTTTTGTTTTCTCCGCTGCTGTAGCTCCGGTGCGGCTAACAGTCCCTGGCACTCGGGTGGCCCCCAATAAGGATTCACTGACTGTAGGAGTCTCCGTGGACCTGAGGCTCGCCCCTCACGTGACACCAGCGGCCCCGCCTCGCTTGCTGGGCAGGGAAGATGGCGGCGCCCAGGGTGGCCTCAGAGAGAGGGCAACCAACGAGAGGGCGCTGGCCTGCTAGAGTGTCCCCGCAGCTGCCTTGCCTGAGGTTGCGTCCTGGGAAGGCGCGAATTCTGGGGCTACGTCCTGGTCCTCCTCCCCACCATTTTTTAAGGAAAAAAAAAAAAAAGCCAATCCTCAGAGACGGCTTGGTGTGACCTGCTTCCAGCCTCCCCACTGCTGGGGATCCCCGGGGTCCGAGGCGTGTAGGACCAGGTTGTGGGATTCGATATCTGAGTTTTTCTCCCCTGGTGTTGGCTCCTGGGTCAACGTATTAGGTGACCTCGGGGTGTCCGTCCAGCCATCAGTTCTAGGGATCCCCGAACACACACCTGGGCCGCTCCCCAGGGAC